TAGAACCATAGAACCATAGAACCATAGAACCATAGAACCATAGAACCGGTTGGAAATGACCTATAAAATCATCCAGTCCATCTCCTCATCACTGTTGCCACCACTAGCACTAAACCATATCACGCAGCACATCCAGGCACCTCTTGAACACTGCCAGGGACAGCGACTCCACCACCTCTCTGCGCAGCCATTCCAGTGCCTGACTACTCTCTGAGAGAAACAGTTCTTCCTTATGTCCAACCTAAACCTCCTCTGGTACAACTTGCAGCCATTACCTCGTGTCCTGCTCGTTGCCTGGGAGAACAGGCCAAAACCCTCTTCACCACAGCCTCCCTTCAGGAAGTTGTACAGTGCAATGAGGTCTCCCCTGAGCCTCCTCTTCTCCAGACTGAACAATCCCAGCTCCCTCAGCCGCTCCTCATAAGGTTTGTGCTCCAGACCCCTCACCAGTTTTGTTGCCCTTCTCTGGACACGTTCCAGGACTTCAACATCTTTCCTGTAGTGAAGAGCTCAAAACTGAACACAATACTCGAGGTGCGGCCTCACCAGTGCTGAGTACAGGGGATGATCACCTCCCTGCTCCTGCTGGCCACACTGTTTCTAATGCAGGCCAGGATGCCGTTGGCCCTCTTGGCCACCTGAGCACACTGTCGGCTCATGTTCAGCCGAGCATCAACCAACACCCCCAGGTCCTTCTCCTCTTCACAATCATCCAGCCACTCATCCCCCAAGCCTACAGTGCTGCATGGGGTTGTTGTGCCCAAAGTGCAGGATCTGGCACTTGGCCTTGTTGAACCTCATCCCGTTCACCTCAGCCCAGCAGTCCAGCCTGTCTAAATCCCTCTCTGAAGGGCCTCCCTACCCTCAGGCAGATCAACACCACCTCCCAGCTTGGTGTCATCTGCACACTTACTCAGTTTGTACACTCAATTCCCTCATCTAGGTCATCAATAAAGATATTAAGCAGGATGGGCCCCAGTACCGACCCCTGGGGGACACCACTTGAAACGGGTCGCCAGCTGGACTTCACTCCATTCACCACGACCCGCTGGGCATGGCCCTCTAGCCAGTTCCTTACCCAAAGAAGTGTAAATCTGTTCAGACCACGGGCAGCCAGTTTCCCCAGAAGAAGCCTGTGAGGGACCGTGTCAAAGGCTTTGCTGAAGACTAGGAAGACTACATCAACAGCCCTTCCCTCATCTACCAGACTGGTCACCCAGTCGTAGAAAGTTCCTTGTAAGTTCGCTGTGGTCACGTCCCATTCAACCATAACTCAAAAGAGACTGCTGCCTTAAAATGCCCTCCAGTTCAGAGGAGGAGCATACTGCGAGCATTAGCAGCTTTAGGAGGTCATGAGACAGCAGACAAGCACATTAGAAAAGCAATGGTGAGTACAAGTCTAGATTTAAGTAAGTTCTCACAGTAGAACAGCACACTCTAAGCACAGATTACTTGTATCTTACCTGATAGACAACTCCATTCATCACTCCATCAACAGCACCTGTAAAGAAATAACTGTAGTTTAACCATTTGAGAAAAACAATACAATTGGATTTACTAAACAGTTACTTGTCTGGAAACCTTTATTACAGCATCCAGTACGGGAATTATGTAATTGTTACTCAATACCCCATAGGGTCAATTCCTTACCTCTGCACTTTTCTTCCTTTTCCAGGACACAAGAGACAGTGAGTCATTATTCTTTAGAACTAAAGCCAGTTCTTCACTATGAGATCTTGCCACAGGCTACTCAAAAAGCAGATCTGACACTGCTGAGAAGCTGCTACGGAGAATGTCCTGGAGTTTCTCCCATTTTCCCATCCCTGCCTTTGAAAATGAATACTAGACAACTGTTCAGAAGTTAAAGGTGACTTACACTTTTCACACTACTTGTAAGACTAACAATCAAGTAGGGCAACACTTTCTAAATCTTATCATGATTTTGTTACCTCCTAACTCCTAGCAAGTCCAAAAAATTATATTAACATCCCTACCAAAAATCACCTTTCATGTTTCTCCTGCAATGACATCTTTGATTGCTTTCTAATTCTCCAGCCGCATTATTCCTTTTGGCAAGAGAGTCTCTGGAACAAGATCAGCTGGAATCCTTGCCACAGAAGCTTAAAATCTCTTATCAGAAGGAAGACCTAGGAACACACATCGATTGTGAAACAAGTATTTGACTTTGTGAAACTATTTGAGTCTTCAGTCTATGGAGAAGGCAGTAAAATTTTCAGGAACCACTTTCTGGAACAGTAGTGTACCATCTCCCAGTGAAATATATTAAGTTTACAACTTTGCCTCATCTATAATGCTACCCTGGATAAGCCCATCACAAGTGTTTCTGCCACATTAATTAACACTGAAAGCTGAGATTTTACCCAAGTCAACAAATAGCAGGCAGAAACTCAAACATTTCACATTAGCTTCCTAAATAAGGTTGTTAATTCACCTGGAGCAGACTGTCATGCTGCCACACGCTCTATTTGTTCCATGTCCTCTTTGCACTTTTACCAGTATTACTAAGCCCCTATCTCCGACTCCTGAACAGCAGCAGTTCACAGTACTTGCGAAAGTATGTAAAATCCTTAGTCAAAACATGGTAACATTGAATGACACTAGCCTTCAATAATGCAGTTACCAGCTTCAGAAAGAGAAAGGCAATTCAAGTTAATGAACATTAGTTTTACCAGTTAAAGGACCCTAGTATTTTAGAGCTACACTCCTATTTCTCAAGAGCAATAACTACTTTGTTTGCTGCTTGCCACAGGTTGCCTCTCAAGCCAGTTCTTTTTGGCTCCTGCATCTGCCTCCTTCACAGCAGCTATCCTGCGCATTACTTAACATCAAGTTGCAAGTTTCCCGAAAGCAAATGTGCAGAGACCACTGAGCACACAGTCCTGAGTAGTTACAGCCACAACTAACAATTCTCCTCATTACATTTAGGAAGACTGAAGCCCATAAAGGAAGCCTGCTTACACTTCATGCTAGAAAAGGAGGCTGCAGCTGTTCACCTTTTTAGACTGGGCTGGAATTACAGCTAAGTCAGGGTCTGTAACTTGTATTGACAAAAACCACCTGAACAAGTTAGCTGCCTACAGAGCCTACCTGGGAAGAGCTAAGAGCAACCTGCACCATCAGACAGAACCTAGTTGGAGAGAAAAAACCCAACAAAGGTTAGTCTTGAAATAAATGTAGTTCTGATCTCCAGAGGGAAGGCAATTGTTTCATGGGACATACTTGGAAGCACTGACTAACCAGCGAGGTAAGGGGGATTACATCTTTAAGATTTTTCTTGTCATAATACAAAGAGAAAACTTTCATTAAAGTCTTCAGCATTCAGGCTAGTAGTCTGCAGAACGGAACAACATTCCTGCAGAGCTGAAAAACAGATGCGTTCATCTTAGGACTACTTATCTTCTGCTTAGACAGTAATTGGTACAGCAGAAAGTATGGCTAGAGGGCAAATAAGCCACAGGCATTAAAAATACTACAGCTTTCCATCTGTTTTAAGCTTCCTAGAACTTGTGATTACAATGCTGAGTCAGCATGCTGACAATGCACCCTGCCCACTGAAAACAAAGTAGAACAGTACTGTTGTGCTATCATGTGCTAACACAAGTACACTAACTGAAACAGAATCAACAGTCAAATATTCTCTCTCCAGCTCTCCAGTTTCAGTGTTTGTGTAAATCAATATGAAACCTAAAAAAAAACTGTTTGCCAGCCTTTGTCTCAGTAAGCAAAGCAATCTGTGTATCAGATTTCCTTGTTCACAGAAGGATGTCATTTTGTATACAACTTTCCCCAGAAAAATGTTTTCAACAGTTATGAACAATGACAGATCTCTATTGGCTTCAGAGTCCATTCATGACTAACACAGCACCTTACAACTCCTGAAGTTAACACCATACTTTCTGAGGAAGTTAGGAACACCCCACACTCCGTGGTGGTTCCTTCTGAGCTTTGGATAAAGCACAGAAAATATCCAAGTATCCACACTTCCAGAACATGCTGGCAATGGAGTAACAAACTTCTAGAGTTCCACCCAGACAACTTTTAGAGTCTGAGCCTGTGAGGAAAGCAGAAGCTGTATCAGCTGTTTGCACACACAGGAGGGAAAAAACGGTTGAGCTTGCCAGAAACAGACAGCTAGAATCTGTGTCCTCCAAATGTGCAATAGCTTTCAAGAGAAATGGACAAGTACCTTGAAGATAAGCACAGTTTTTTTCCCACTTCAGTCCTACAAGTCAACATACAGTGAATTTGCAAAGTTAAGTTTCTAACTGAAAGGAACAGCCAAGGAAGCTTATGAAGCTTCAAGAAAAGGGCAGATCGAGCAGATGGTAGTGGACCTGGAATAAAATTAATCCATAAGCAGTTGTTCTCCTGGTAGTACTAGGCATGTAAAAACTACAGACTAGTTCCAAGAACAAAGTAAAGATTTAGCCAGAGGCTTACTTCAACTTCAGAGTTGACACAACTCTCATTTAAAGTTAGCTTTGTACTGAATGTCAACAACTGAGCTGTCAGAGACAGCTGAAGTGAAGATCTACTTTTGAAAGTGATTAAAAAAAAAAAAAAATCGATGTGTAGAAACTTACAGCAAAGTTTTGTTACAGTTAAGCAAGGTATTCTTTCTTGGCAGTGCTGCAGTAGCATTGGATAACTCTCCAAGAATGCTCCATCAGTTGATCGTTCGTGAATAGGTTATATTTTCACATACATTACATACAGACTGACTAACAGACACAGCCTTATTTGGTGATCTTCAATGTCATTTAGAGTTCTTCTAGCATCCTGCTGGTCCTCTATCTGCCCCAGGGAGTTGTTTATTTTCAACACTCCTTTTGTCCTGAAGATTGCAGTGGAATGCAAGGACAGTCAGAAGTCTCTGTACACAGAGCTAAGGAAGAAAAAAGGGAACATCTCAATGCTGTCTGTCACATTTTAGGCGTTCCATTGTTGTTTCTTTTGCCTTGTTAAAGCAGAACAGTCTTACAACATTTCTCCATCTAGTGTGACATCCCACTTATCATCCATAACATCTAAAGACTACTGCAGTGCTGCAAGCGAGCATTAACAGAACATTTTCTGTAATTACTTCGACAAATCAAACACATTGCCTTGCTCTAAGACCATACAGCTATGCAGCACAATACACTTTCAGCCTTGTTCACTAGTAAAGATTTACTGTCAGCACAACAAATGAAGGCTATCAGAAGAACCAGACATAGGACCATGAAGAGTAACACTTCTAATTCAAGCCCAGGCATGGATTAATTCCTTCTGATGTCTTCCTATCAAGTAGGCTTTTGACAATATTCTCCATGCAAAAGAAGTTAACTTCAATATGGCTATATTTAAAGTCATGCTTTATGAGCTACTCTTAGCATCCCTTTCAAATACTGAGTATTCTCTTCACTGCTTATCTTCTAAAAAGTAGTAGCTTGAGGGCTTTGTTTCCTTATTCTTTTAAGACAATGTCTTGCATCACTGAGGAAAAATAGGTTTTCCAGCCAAAACCTTATTTCTGTGATTGTAGGTAAAATAAAAAATAAAAGAAGGAAAAGGGCTTCTCTCCTCATTAATAGGCAAAATAGATGTGTTTGTTCCTACTATGAGCTTCATAATACAGCATCACAATTTTTTTTTTTTTTTTTTTTTTTTTTAAATCAAACCTTTCTCAATGCTACCTTATGGAGCACTGTGAAACCTTGAACAGTTTAGAAAAAACAATAGCCACTGATGAGTAACTCATTCTGTCTGTGAAGTTAACTCAAGTCAGAAGAAAACAATTCTTTCCCAAAGATATTTTGAAAAAAGAAAAAAAAAACAACTGATATTCAATCCTTGAGAGATTTCAGTTCCTTACCTCCTAGAGAGGCTCACATGCCTCTCTTCAGAAGATGAGAGTCATTCACTGAAGTTCACATAAAGGCAACAGAATGTGAAAGTGAAGTCAATGTTTGAGACTAGACAGCCTACATTAAACTTGACTAGTATTTTCATGACTGTTTACACAAAACTGCTTGCTACTGAAGGTTGTTCTCAGTGAGAAGTCACCAACAAGCCGTCATGGGATTTTTACATTGAAACACAGGTTCTGGAAGCTAGATATCTCAATCTGAACGCATTTGCTCCTGCAGAGCAGACACTGCAACTGAACTGTTTTCTTACTGGGAAGGGGACCCCACAAGAGACCAGAATACTAATAACCAGACAATAGCTCTTTATTGCTTTATTTACACAGCATTTCTTGTCCTCTGAGATAGCGATTATGCTTCACATTTCAAGTGAATACAAGACTAGTTGGAATGTCTATGTACATATAAATGGTTGAATGGGCCAGGCCAATATTCCAGCCCTGACAGAAGCAATGTGAAGTGATGCTCAGTGCGACCACATGAGCTTGGCAACATTATGCCCCAAGTACCCATCATTGCTACAATTAACAGGGATACAGTTTCAATTACCACAAATATTTTTCCATTAGCCTAAGTACATGAAGTTCAACCCTGACCTTGAGTTTAACTTTTTTTTTTTTTTTAAATAGACTTCATTTAAACAGTTTGATGTGTTAGAGAGCATGTTTCTTACAAGCATATTTAAGGAAGCTGGAGACTGTTTCTCATAATATTTTAATATCTTTGCACTCCGGAAGAGAATTGCTTCAGCTACAACTTCTGCCCAGCATTGAGAAAGGAAAGAAAGAAAAACTTACCCAGCAGATCCATAAATCAGGATTTCAGGAAAGTTATGGTTAAAACAGTAAATAAAATTAAATAAATCCACAAATCCCTGACCACCGTGCTTTAAGGGTTCACTAAAATATTTTTCTTAAGGATTTACATAAATAAATTCAAGAATAGATTTACATTCACCGAAACAGTTCAATAAACTAATAAGAACTAGTGTTGTCAGATGTTTGTTAGGGTGTTGACTGAACCCTAAGAAGTCTTATAGAGAAGTGGCAACAGAAGTTACAAATACACCTGTCACCTGAACTAGCACATTTTGCATTATTGCAAATTGTATCTTCTATTTTTCCTAATAGGGAATATAGGGTTTAACAGTCAGAGAATGGATGTTCTGTTAACAAGGTGACCACCAGAATTCCAAAAAGATGATCAGCTACACCTGTACTACAGGCCAGAGCATCAGTGAAATCCAAATTCATACCAAAAAGCAAAGTGATATATAGACCACACCTAGACTTCACAGATCCTTAGATTATATCTACTACTTTATGGCTCTCTTTCTACAGTAACAGTTTCTCAAAGGAAATGAAAAGCTTCTTCAGCCACAGCTGAACTAGTTTTTCATTTCTACCCAACCTGGCAGCACTTAATCAGCTGGTGAGGAACTACGCTGCAACAGCCAGACTGCACACAGAGAAAATACAAGTCCAGTTGGTTCTATCACCCTGTGAGATGCTAACAATTTTCCTCTATGCCATATAAAGCATAATGCTTCAAAGAGCAACATCTGAGGCTTCTGAGAGAGGGGATTCATACACAGTCTGTTTCTGCTCATAAAAATAGTGAGTTATGTTACATCTGGATGGTTTCTAATGATTACCCCCATGTTTAGTGCTTAAGGATGTCACTTCACTTGACAAAGACGTTTGCATGAAAATACACAGTCTGTATAGCCAACCTTTTTATGAATGAGCCAGTTTCTAAGGGCTGCAGTACCTCTAGGTTAGCCCTGGATACATAAGGTCTCCATTACTCAGCTCACTTAACCGTGCTTTGTTTCACGGGCTATTATGAAACAGCAGTCCCATAAACACCAGTTATTTCAGTAGCAGCTTTTCACATTGAAAACTTAATTCTGAAGACACTTCAATAGTGAACCGGTGAGCGGAGTAATTCAACTCAGACAGAAGAGGCTAGCTGCCCGTTCGGGAAGCGATAAAGGAATGGCTCTCGAGGTCAAAACAAACTCCCCTGGGCGCAGAGATGAACACGAGGCACACCTTGCAGCAACACAGAAACAACATCGCTAGATTCACAGCCCCTTCTCGCTCAGGATTCAGATTAAAGGCCCTAGTGCCAGAGGCTGGAGACCGCTTCAGCTGCTGCTGCACTAACGGAGAGCTCCCACAACCCGACTCCCAGAATATATAACCACGCTGCTCCGAGCACAACACCCCGTTCTGCAGCGTCAGCTTTCTCACCTTCGGTACAAAGGTTACGGAGGTACAACGGCCAGAGGCCGAGTAAAATTAAACATTAGCCCAGCCGGCTCTCACGCGCGAACGTGGATCGCCGCTTCCGAGCAGAGCGGCGCCGGGCGGAGCGCCGCGCACCGCCCTACCCGCGGTACTCCGCTCCGGGCGCACGGGAGCGGCGGAGCAAGCCGCGAGCAGGGCGGACCCGCCAGAAGGCAGCGGCAGCCCGGGACAGAGGAGAGGGAGGCCGTGCGCCGTACCGGAGTCGAAGCCCTCCGCCGCCTGCAGCGCCTCCGGCACGTCGCCGCTCTCCAGGATGCCGTATCCCTCGTCGTTCTCGATGCCCGCGATCTCGTTCTCCTGCTGCGCCAGGAAGGCAGCGGCAGGGTCTTCCTCGGCGCCGTCCGTCGCCCCGTTACCGGCGGCGGCCTGCGGCTGCTGCGCACCGAACAACTCCAGGTTAGCCATGGGGACGAGCTGCTGCTGCGGCGCTGCGCGGGCACGGGCAACGGCGGGTCCCGGGCCTGCGCCTCCACACAGAAATCGGCGCGGAAGTGGGGCACCCTCCACCCGGGCCAATGGGAGACGAGCACCGCCGGGAGGCAAAGCCAATCAGCGAGCGGCAGAGGCGGGGCTAATGGAATCCTCCGCGCGCCTCGGTGGGCTCGGGCCAATCAGCGCCAAGGGCTTGATGGGGGGCAGAGAGGGCAGCGGAAAGGGGTTGTGGGGCCGGGAACGCGCAGGCTTGGCTGTGGGGGCGCGCGCGGTAGCCGCGGGGCCGATAGCGGTCGCGTGACTTTGTCAGTTCGGAGTTGCGTCACTGCCGTGTAGTAGCACTGCTTAACCGTACTATGCCTGGGGTGGTAGTGAGACGCAGGGCTCGGAGAATCGTAGAATCCTTTATGCTGGGAAAGACCTCTGAGAAGTCCAAGTGTTAACCAAGCACGGCCAAGTCTGCCACTAAACTACAGAAGTGTTAAGGATGGAAAAGACCTCTAAGATCACCGAGCCCAGCCATCAGCCCATCCCCACCATGCCCAGCAACCACATCTCTCACAGTTCTTGAACACCTCCAAGGACGGTGACTCCCCCACCTCCATGAGCAGCCTGTGCCAGTGCAGCACCACTCTCTGAGAAGGCATTTTTCTTATAGCCAACTAGCCCTCCTCTCATGCAACTTGAGGCTATTCCCTCTTGTGCTATTGCTGTGACCTGGGAGAAGAGGCCGACTCCCATTTCTTTACAGCCTCCTTTCACAGAGTTGGAGAGATTAACAAAGATCAAAATAAGCTTCCGTCAGTGTCATCCGATCCAGCTCCTGTTTCGTAATCCAACGCACAGGACCACACAAAATCCAAACCCTATGTCTGAGAACGTTGCCCAAACACTTCTCAAAAGCCAGCAGGTGCCATGGCACTGCCCAGGAGAAGTGTCTTGGTGTCAGTCCTATAGCCCCCCATGGGCCGGGCACTGCAGAATGAGCCAGTGGAAGCATCCGTGTGCAGTCGTATGTTTTCATTCTGATAGCTGAAAGCTTAACCTATGCATACCATGTGGTAGGCGTCTTGGAACGGTATATCTGTGGACAGTAATTCTGATTTTCTACCGAGATCTATGGCAAGGCCTCTGCCTCCACTTAGGTGCTGCCCGTAAGTCAGTACGTGTCACAGTACATTAGACATAAGCCACCCAGTCCTACCTTGTAGTCCCATTCCAACATGGTTCTGAAATTGGCCAAATACAGAGAAAAGCAACCCTGGAAGTCAGTTTTTACCTACATGAAAGACATGGTGAGGCAAACTGCAGGCTGTGGTAAATTTTGTTCTGTTAGTTACATTTTGCTAGGAAGGTGGTACAGACTGGTCCCTGCATATTGCTGAGTCATTTAAAGCATGCCTGGTTTCTCCAGTGAAAACTCAGAATCTAGCATGGCAGTAGGCTGAACTTCTGTCAGTTTTATCTTCTAGGAAGAACAGAACTGTGTCATTTATTTTAATGAATCTCCAGCAGCCACAGGAAAGTGAAGGAATAAAGAGCAACAGCAGCAACTATGTCCTTCATTTATAACAGAAGACTGTAAAAATGACACTCCCCCATGAAGCTCATGTCATGCTCATGCTGAAATTTACTGGACTTGACCCTTAATTTGTCCTGAAAGCACACTCCCATGTACATTTTAATCACTCTTCCTCCCTTTTACATACGCACACAAAAAGGTAGAATAGTCTTATTGTTCCCATTCAAGCATTTGAGCGAATTTGGGATATAAACCTAGCAACTTCCTCTTCTGCTTTTTTAGTCTTTCTTAGCCCGGTGGGGGATTCCGGATGACTTAATGCCACGAGTACAAAGAGAATACTGTCATTTCAAATAAAAAGCAAATCTGCATACTTGCTTGTCTTAAAATTGCATGATGAAGGATGAAACATAAGCAAAATAATAAGCTTGCAATTGGCAATAAAATTATCTGAGTTAAATCAGAAAGGATAACTTAATGTTACTGGCTTTTGAGGCAGAGAAAATTGCAGTGGGTTATTAGATCTACTTTGATGATAAATTCTTCAAGTATTTTTGCACTATCAAAACTATTGTTTTGTTCCTGCTTTCTTACCCACAAAAGAAGTAGAAATACATTGTTTCCTAAAGGCATATATCACATGTTAGACTGTAGACTATAGTAATAGTGCCCTTTGTAATTCATCCATGGTGACTTACATGCCAGGGAGACTAGTACAAGAATGTTATATGAATAACACTTTATGGAAAGACTAAATGACACACAGGCTACAAATGACTTTAAGGATAGTGCAATTTCTCCCCACTCTTTGTAACAGAATGACTTATAATTCTCCCTTCTAAAAATACTGTCCTCTATTTTTAAAGTAATTCTAAAAAGATGTTTTCAAGCATTTAGCAAAATATGACAGCAGTTATGTACTTCCAACATTAAGAAAATAATTTCAACAGAGTAGTGAATCGTAGAATGGTTTTGATTGAAGAAATTAGAGGTTTAGTAGAACAGATGTTTCCAGAGCAGAAAATTTAAATGCCAGTACTTTCAGCTCCCTCTTAACTCATTCGGCATGCAAATGAGACAGGCACAGTCTAGCTGACATCTGGACATGTACCGCATCTCTCTGAGAATTTTCTAGCTAGTCTTATTTTGCAGAAGCTGGTGGTTTTGGCAATTAGAAAGGAAGGGCATGTGTTGGCTGGAATCTGGTCCCCCGAAATCAATAAAAATATTCCTCAACCATCAAGCTATAGATAAAAGTCAGAAAAAAAAAAAAAATCCATGCTAAGGAATCTAATATTTTGCTTGCTACTTGCTCACAAGTTACAGGAGCCAGAAAGAACTGTCTTGAGAAGCACAGGAAACTTACAGCATCTGTCTCCTTCACAGCAGCTATTCTGCACATCATTTAACATCACGCTGCAAGTTTCTTCAAAGCAAATGCACAGAGATCACTAAGCACACACTGACTCAGGCAGTTACAGCCACAGCTAACAAGAAATGGCATAAATAAGCATGTTTGCCATGATGGGAATGAGATACGAGATATCATATGAATGACAGAAAATCAATGCCTTGAAAGTAAACTCTGGGGAACATGAGATTATAAGGCCCCATTTTGAATGGATTGACTGGGGCTAAATAGCCCAGAGAAAATAACAAAATTTAGATGTTTCGGAAAGGAATTAGACATAAAGAATGTCATTGGTATTTTTGTTTGTTGTTTTTCCATCAAAAGAAGTGGCAAACAAATCACAGACTCTAAGAATTATTAAGCTAAGAGGAGACCTCCTGAGGTTGTCTATTCCAATGTACTTGCTTAAGCTGTATCAACATGAATATGTTCTTGGCAGGACTGTGCAGGACTGCACCCACTTTCTGGGCAACCTGTTTGAGTGTCTGTCTTCACAGTAAACAAAGGTTTTTCTTCAATATGAGGTGTGCTCGTATTGAATTTATTTATTTTTTTTTAATTTGTTTCTAATGGCTATTGTCCTGTCAGTGTGCTGTACAAAGAAGAGTCCTCCTGAACCATCACTTGTCCAGACTAAGTAGTTCAATCTCTCTCAACCTTCCACATGAAAGATGCTTCTCAGGTAAAAGTCTCATTAACAAGAGGAAAAAAATCTGACCAATGTAGAACAGCTGAAGACTGTAAGAAGCCATGGTGTATAAAATTTGTTTAAGCAACTCTCCTCTGGCATCCACACTAACAAGGAGGCTGATGGCATTGTAGGGCTGCTCTCAATCACCTCTGATACGACATGGGATATTTCCTTAAGACTGGAGCAGAGCAAGCGTCTCTCCTGTACTGTATCTGAGGTGCAGGTATTTGGCATCAGCATGAACACATTTACAGGTATTGTTTTCCATCTTTTTCTGCAACTGGATATCCAAATGATCTTTTGTCCCTGCTGATGGCAATGGGGTTGGTCTAGACGATATTTAAAGAGCCTTCCAACCTGAATCATTGTGAGATCCATTTCATCATTCTGCTTGAAGAACTACTGCACAGAAAAATCTTTTGAACTCTTCACCAGTGAAAGACGACCACGTCCTGATTCAACAAAGCAATGATCCATATATCTGACTTTACATTTTCTCACCCTTTCAAAATGCACTGCACATCATGTTCTTTCATCCAAAAGAATACACATCAGCCAACCCAGCAGGGAAAAAGACTAGTTTACCACAGAGACTAACTTCCTAGTATGTCTGATCAAACAGATAGCAACCGAGCAGGAAGTAACCCCCTATCACTGTGCTGTAAAACCTAGCCTTTACTTCTTCTGATATAACTGAAAGAAGCTGTTTAGCTTACAGCAAAAGCTGTAAATTCTTCCAGCCCTTTAAGGTACATGACCAACTGACCATTCAGTTAAAAGTTTCCCCTCAGTAGCACTTAAACAACAAAGACATTGACCAAATAGTTTTCCATCAAGTTTTCAGGACCACAGTCAAACCACTGTTACACAGATTTGATCCAGACTTGTTCTGCTCACAAAAAAAAAAAAAAAAAAA